CTTCATCCACCAGCTTCCATTCAAACCTCCCTGTCGCAGCAGAATAACAGAACACTGTCGGTATCGATTGGAATAAAAACACGATCGATGCAGTTTCATAGTGAGGAAAGAGACTAACTGTGCTCAGTCTGTTCTCTCAGCTTGTCATATCTTTCTTAATCTCTCTCTCTCTTGTTTTATTCCTGATGTTATTTATAGCTGAACTCCATCTTTATCTTCCCATCGCAGCCTCTGCTGCTTTCATCCAGCAGAAACCTGCTGATCTCACGTAGCGTTTGCTCACTTTTGATTCACAGGATTCAGCTTTTTCCTCTTTTTCAGCCACTGTGAACGTCTCTGCTGCTCTTCTTCTCGCTCCTTTCTGCTTCAATCTTCCGCTCTCTGTGTAGCCGTCTCCCTCCCTCCGTCTTGATTGAAAGGGTATGCATGGTTGGCACAGAAAGAAAGAAGGAAATAGATAATGACACCAGATCGTATTGTGTGGAAAACCCTGACCTTGCACACACACACACACACACACGCATACAGTTCTCGGATAAACACAGAGGGAAACATGTGCACCCTCTTATAGTGTTTCTCCTCTTTATCATAAACATACTTGTTCATATTTTCAAGTGCCTTTCACGACACACATTCATGAGCTTTCACGTTGCCGTGAAAAAGTGCAGATTTACAGTCTTATATTCTGCTGAAAGTCTGTGTGATGATTTTAAATCTTCTTCCACTTAGAAGTGTCTTCAGAGAGGCAATTTGTTATCCACATGAAAAAGAATAGAGTCAAATATTCCTCCCTCTGAAGTTCTGGTGTGTGTGTGTGTGTGTGTGTGTGTGTGTGTGTGTGTGTGTGTGGGGGTGTACTAGGCTGCATGTATCTATTCATTGCACATATCCGTGTAAACAAAGCTCTTAAACTTGAGCCCATACTGTGCCTTTAAAGGTAGGGTTGGGAATGTTCTCATCACATCTGGACAGAAATCAATGAATCAAACCCTCTGGAAATAAAGAAAACGATCACTTGTTTTAACATTTATTGCGGCCCGATTTGATTGGACGGGCTGAACATCTAGCTTGCTGGTTTCCCATGATTACCAACCCGAGCTTTAAATACGTCTGAACACATGTTTAGAGCTTCTGGTTGGCAGATTTAGCAAAGCTAACCGGCTTCATATTGAATGGACAGATATAAAAAATCAACCTTCACATCTAACTCATAAGAAAATGAGTGTATTATTATTTTTTAACAATCAGCCATATTGTGGACATTTGTGGACACCATCAATAGGATAACACATCTCTTCTATTTGTTACTAACAGAGTATTAATAAAACATAATGGAAGTAAATCTATCTGTTTTTTTATTATGGATCATTACAAATACACTATGTTTAAAGAATAGCAGATAGTCACCGTGAGATTAAATAAATCATAGAGATCAAATCGTGAGGTCCCAACAGATCAACACCTCTTATGTGCAACTACTTGTTTCTAGTTGCACGTATCTCCTCCATCTTGTCTTCATTCTGACACTTCATGCTCCTGATGAAATTGTCCTGAGAGCCCAGGCTGCAGATCTCCATAGACACACTCACTCACACACACTCACACACACACACACACACACTCTCTCTCACACACACACACACACACACTCACACACACACACACACACACACTCTCTCACACACACACACACACACACTCAGCTTGCAGAGACGTGGTGCAGGTCTTTCTGGCTGTATATGGTTTTGTCTGCGGGTCCTTGGGTTGTTCATCAGCATAAAGCCAGAGGCAGTTTGTCTCCGCCATGAGCACCAAAGCTCTCTCTCTCTCTCTCTCTCTCTCTCTCTCTCTCTCTCTCT